ACAGGCTTGTCACATGAACTAGAGGTGGTCACGCGGCAAATCTTAAATCACTGATAAGTAGTTTGCTATGGATACATCTTATGATTCACGACTCGCTGTCATTTAAAATATCAATTTTTATTAGACAGTACCTAAACAACAAAAGCGTTTCTGTTCCACTACACAAGTGGTATTTATCTTAAAATGTGACTGAAAAACTACAGAATTTTCAAAAGCTACTCCAAGAGGAAAACTTTTAACAAGACATCTTTAATTTAATTTGGAAGTCAATAACTCTAGTAATGGCTTAGTGACAGTTTTCACGAAAACACTCTGCTGAAATGTGTGCAAGTCCTTATTGCCATAACAACTTGCTGGGAAGATGATCAGTTACTCAACAAATGGTACTAGTTATTGACAAACAAACCAGACTCTCTCGAGCCACTACAGTAGAGGGTTTCAACCACATTAGGGTGCGTCAATGAAAATTATCACCTAGGTATCTGAGGGGTTCATCAAAGGCATGCAGCCAAGCTTTCAATCTCAGCACTTAATTTCTGCCTCTTGGTCTTATTGTTGCCTTCTCCTTCCAGATAGCCTTGTTTGCTCAAACGGCCATTCACCACCTTTTCAGCCATCACAATGGCCGAGTCCAACAGCTGCTTCTTCTCGTATTCCTTGCGCTGCAGCTCAGTAAGCTGTCAAAAAAAAAAGTAACCATAGTTAAAGATTAGCCTGCAAACACAGCCTCGCCTTGCAGCCATGAAAAAGAGGAGGTGGCCCATGGCCAGGGTCTCTAGATAAGTAAAAAGCAAAAGCTGAGAAGAATAAGGCCTCTGCTTTTTATATGGAGAAAATTGCCGCGGATTAAAGGGTCACCTACCTAACCAAGCTACCCTGAGCGAGCCAACTTTTCATACATTTCCTTAAAAATGTAGCCTACAGTTTACACGAGAAACAAAAAGTTGTCTTCGCTAGAGGGGAAACCCTCCCGGCTGGGCCAACTTTCCTCCATTTATAAAACACTTTGGCTACCCAAGCTGGGTCAACTTGGTCAAGGAGAGACAATTAGAGTATGCGGGAGTGCCATGTCTTGGCTTGGGTTAGAAACTTTTTTCCCAAATATACTCTTACTAAAATTGGCTCGGCTGGAAGGGTTTCCCTTCTAACGGGGAAAGGTTTTCTCCGTATAAACAGGGCCTTTGGTAGGAAAAATGGAATCTGGGAGGAGACAAAAACAGAGAAGGGTGGGGAGAGACTTCCCTCTTCCTCCTCTCTCAGTTTTCCTGGTGACCAGCTTCACTTTACTTCACTCGAACCAGAAGGATTGTTTACAGACTATCAGATAAGAGGCAGTCTCATTCCCTGGATGGCTTGATTTCTGTATGCAATAACCTTCAGAAAAGGCTCTTAATGTTTTTGTTTATCAAAAAGGTGCATATCTCCACACAGAGTTTACTCATAGACAAACACAAGACATCTGACAGATTGTTTAACTGGCTTTGTCTACCTTAGGAAGGTGTCTTAATATTTATTACATAATTTATGAACTTAAACACTGTCAGATGAACACTGCTGCACTGTTCTAGCAGCTAGAAAACAACTGGCACAAAACTGAGTTGGAGGTTTAAATTATTTTTCTAGGTACCAAGTAGGGACAGGGAAGAGTACAGGAGTAAAGTCTGGAAAAAAAATGCTTATCATGCAGGCATTAGATGAAGTTGACATTTCACTCAAGTAAGGTCACATGGTGAAATGAGATCAAGGCATGGGTGGAAAATTTGAAAAAAAAAACATGTCTTGAGTTGATGCCTTTTCATGTACCAAAGGTTTTTGTGTCACTGGCAACCAACAATTTTGCTCTAACCTTTTCTGCAGCCTCAGGCTGTTCCTTGCTTAAGGAAGCCTGCACCTGCGAGATCTGATTGCTGATGGCACGGTAGTCCCCATCAAGCTTCTTACGTGCATTAGCAAAAGCAGTAGCATCCTTGCTTTGCTTATACTTTTGAATGGCATCAGCGTACACAGAGTAGAGACCACTCTGGCGATCCAAAAGACGTTGCACCTCCTCAATCAGACAAGCAGCTCGCATACGGGACTCATTAGCTTCATCCTAGAATGGGAGGACCAAATATTGGGAATTAGCCTATTGTTATTACCAACATTATTTTGCGTCTTTGGGGATTTCTATGTGTCAGGGAAGCAGGACGCAGAGGTAACAAAATCACCGTGCCTAGAAAGCTTTTTAAGTACACAATGTGAGAAACTGTAGGCCATTTCCAACGTCCAACACCACTCACTATTAAAATAAGGTACATGTAAAACAAAATCTATCAAGTGAAAATGTTTTTTTCTCCATAAGAACCACAAAAAAAGGATTCAAACTTACAAACATTTTGAAAAGGAGGTCATCAACACGGCCAGATGACTTAAGTTTTCTTTGATTCTACAGCGATTTCCAGTATCATTTATAGGAAACGATTTTACAGAACAGTTATATAAGAAATACAGCTGTGCAACACAACATCCAATCACCATCTGATTATTACCTTACTGATTGCAAAGTCTAGCCTCATGTAGATGATAACAGCCATGAAGAGCAAGTAAAATGCACCAACAATAAGAAGTGGCTCTTGTAACAATAACACTTTGTTGAAGGAGTAGTGAAGCTGTAGAAATGGTTTAAAAGGAAAAAACCATTCAAACAAATTAAGGACACACTGTGACTGACACTTTCTGCATTAAGTAATTTTCTCTCACATTCATCAGGTATTTTGGGAGGGTCAAGTAAACAATGTAAAACTGCAGACAATTATAGTATTAATATAGTCCTGCAACTGCATTCATGTAGTCAATGGCATGTGAATTAAAACTGGAGCCAAAAACACACAGAACAAAGTTACTGTAGCACATTACTAAGCACTGCTGTCAATCATAATTACAATCACAAGCAATGAAAATTAAAACACAGACACACACGAAACGGATCGAAATCCATCTATCACAAATCACCAAACATGACGTTTTGAACTAGTTAAAGTAAACTCCTGTTTCCTAAGGTCTGCTGAGATAAATGGTGGCAGCCAAGGATGCAAACAACAATTAGCTTTTGAAATTCAGTGTTTGTGTGTTTTTGAAAAGAGCAGTAGAGCGGTTTTCACTTGACTGTCGAAAGTAATTGAGGAATTGGTTTTGGTTTTGGTTTTACTACGCCCTTTGGTTGGCTAGTGTATTTACTTTGGTTTTGGTTTTACGACAGTCAAGTGAAAACCGCTCTAATAATTAAAGCAAGACTTTCTGGTAAGACTGAGTTTAAGTGTGCTATAATGGAGAGAGTACTGCAAGGCTATTTTGAGTTCTCTACTGTCATAATAATGAGAGCAATAATATATTATATTAACAAGGTTTATCATGAGAATAACAGGAATAATGAGAATCATGAGAATAATGCCAACTTTTTGTTTTGCAAAAAAATGAACACACATAGCAAAGAACATTATTTTAATGAATGTACCTCAAAGTCCTGAATGTGTTGCTCCACTAAGCTAGACTTGTGTGCAACAATCACTGGACGGCCAACTGTATCAAGATATGTAAAATGTAGCTCACGCTTTCCCTCCTCCATCTTGAAAGGAGTCTTCAGTTGAATATCACTGGAGGAAAATAAAATACAGTTGAACCTCCATTAATTAAGCAGCAACCCTCACAGTATTGGTCAGGTTTTATGAAGATTACATATTAGTATAATGATGAAATAAAAGCCCTTACGTGCATCCTTCAGGGAGAATAATTCGTAAGATAAGGTGATCCACAACAAACTCATCAAAGATGTGGTCGACAACTCTCATTTTCAAAATGTATCTGTTCCCTACAATAGGATAACAATTAATATAAATATTCATTAGCATCTTATTATCTTGGTAACATTGTAGAACAAAAAATATGTGTACTGTACATTTTTGCTGCCATGGTAAGTAGGAAAAACTTATCGACTAATACTCCAGCAAAGGTTGCCAATTTTGGGAAACCCAATTTTTTAAGTAATGCAACCAAGCCATGGTGTTTTTCATAGTTAGTGTAAGTTAATGGTCTTTCTAAAATTAAGATGAGATAAACATTTGCATGCAATATATTTACTTTCCAATGAATGTCTTTATAGATCACCTTATTCACCCAAAAATTCAGTTTTGATAGTTTGACAGCCATTTTGATTTTTAACCCTTTTATGAAATGTTGCACAAAGTGGCCTTTTTATTTATTTACTTATTCCTTAATGTCTGGAGACCATTTTACACTTTTAGGTCACCAAAAGGTGACTACCAAAAAGGTTAAGCTTGTGTCTGTAACATCTGATTAAGTGAAAATGAATACTACAAATTAAAACAACACTGCTTTGTGACTTTCCAACAGTGTTCAGTTAGTTAACTGCTTCTCAAATCTGATTTCAGAAACATTTCACATGTTACGGTTTCCATCAATCTCATTACTTGAGGATTGAAATGCTCACAATCTAGAAGTACACCTCTGTTATCCGCTCACCTAGATTGTACAAGTACTCATAACTGGGCACATTGTAGCCCATGTAGAACCTGGTCTGCCAGCCACCAAACAAGGGAAACCTTGGTCGCAGTTCAAGCTCCACGGAATCTTCCTGGGACCACAGGTTACTAGTGGAGATGTTGCCAATTTGATCACGGTAGTACACATCACTAGCAGCCGCAGGGAGAACTGATTTGAAGGATTTGATGGATGCTGGAGCTGCAGTTCGTTGATAATCATATCTGGAGAATGAACCCTAAAAAACGAAGAATGGTGCCAGGAAAAGTTAATGAAGATAACCAAAGAAAGCCAGGGGTGCTGGCGCATTTAAACAACAGCAAGGGAGGGGGAGTTAGAGCTGGGTTAAGGTTAGGGGTGGAGGTGGGCTGCAATTCACGTTTCAAGGAGGTGGGGAAATGGACAAAGTAGACAGAGATTTGACACTTTCATGTGTTCGTACTTGAGAAACTGTACCGTATTTTGGGATAAATGGCCTGTCCATGATCTTGTGCTTGTGATCCCCCTCCACCCCTTATCAAAGTGGCTAGCAATACAAAACCATACTCAAAACTTGGAGGAACAACTTTGAATGGGAGGGAGGAGGGAGGTAAGTATTATATCTCACAGATCTGTGACCAGGAGCGATTTGAACCAAGAAAGGTCGTTTTTTCATGGGAGTGTCTCAACATTTTTGCAATTGGTTGTAGCTATGGGGTATCATGTGTGACTGGTCTGTAATTCATACTCAAATTTATACCTAATTATATGATAACAACAATGATAACAATCAACAGATATTTATGACAAATGGTTGGGACAAAGCACACACCTTACACAAACTAGGTACCAAGGGGTAAAAGAAAAATACCTTGAGCTCTGCTCCAACATGCTTCATGTGGTAGGTTTCTTCAACTGCAATGTTTCCCCAGTGAGAAACTTCAATGGTCCTTGTCATACCAACAACCTTTATTTGTACAGTAAGTAGAGGAATATAAAAAAATACCATCAACATTCTGAAAAGCTTGCAAGCTCACAAAGAGATGCTGTGATAACAATATTATTTATTACATTAATTTTTTTTGAGCAAAGCCTCAGCCATTAGAACTGCCTTTGCATACTTTTTTTTAATAAGGTAAAAAGGTAATAATAATAATAATAATAATAATAATAATAATAATAATAATAATAACAATTTTTAACCACGAGACTCTCTCACCAGAGTGATTTTCAGAGAGGTCCTGGAGTATTTAAAAGGTGTGCAAAAGAAGTTCTCAAGGTGTCACACAGATAGTACAATATACATGTACTAATATTAATTAACAACAGTAGTAAACTGTACATTAAAATTGTGCCAAGGAAAACAAAAACAAGTATAAGTTTGATGGAGTTCAAGGACATCAGGAGTAATACATGTATTTCATCCCAGGGAGTTTTGATTTTCTTCAAGAGAAATAATGAAAGCTACATGCATAACAACTTACCGAGAGAAAGGGGGTGCTATTTTCAAAGTGCACTCTCATGGGATCTGCTGAATATGCCTCAACATCACTGTAAGGTCCATACGTCACCGCGTTGTCGGACAGACTAGATGGTTTAAGCTTAGTGTGTGACTCAACAGAGGATGTTGCCAAGGAGACAGTCGTGGTTTGCTTTTTGACAGTGTAAGGAGAGTAATAGTAGTGATTTCCAGAGAAGACAACATACTGTTTCTCAGATTGACTGATCTTGGTTGGAAAGGGAGTCATGGCATGCACAAACACCTCTTCAGTTGTGACATCAACAGAGGCTCCTGGCTTGAGACGAAATCCTAGTTCAACTTTGAAAAACTTTGTCTCACTGAAACAATACAGTGACAAAATAGGGAACATGAATAAATGAACAAGGCATTTATAACTAACCACTCAAAATGCCATCATGGGTGAGCCCTTTCAGTCCCAAGAGCAACAAATATCAATTTTCTCCTAACAATATTGATACATCATCAAAAGAAAGGGTTACAAGAATTAATTAAATGATCACCACAGGAAAAATGCTTTGATCTTTTACCAAATTCTCCCCAAATATTCTTTAGGATCAGTCTAGAGAATTGGGGTTTAACAGGTCAATGGAAGGCAGTTGCTTATGATAGGTTCCAACTATAATACATGTAAATGAACTTTGGCTTGAGGCGTTAAAAAATGTAATTAAAACAAAAATACACATCAAGCACGATCAATTCTTTCAATGCTGGACTTAGGCCCACTTCACATTTCATGTGCTTTGAATCTAATGCAAATAAGTGAGAGCAATAGAATGTTCCTTGTTTGCATTAAATTCATCATGCGTGAAGTTCTACATTTCAAAAAAAGGGGTTGTATTAACCTTGTTTAGATGTCTGGTAGAGAAGGGTGTTCAGATAAAAGAAATGTTAGTAACAACCACCCATGAAATTCAACTCGCATGTAGAGAGATGACGGAAGTCTGCTGGACCATGCTGAATTTGACCGATGATTTCAAATTTATCCTCAAACTTTGATAACCCAATTAACAGAGTTATAAAATGTGCATTCAAAGATCATACCAGTCACGCACGTTACCCTGCTTAAGTCATACAACAATTTAAGCTAATTTTGCTTATTGTTTAACTGAAACGTTCATAAACATGCCTATGTTTACCTGTGTGAACTGATATCTACTTCGGACAAAACTAAACTTGATTCTTCGTCCTCAGGGTTCCTAGCCTAAAAGATCAACGCGGAATAAAAACGACATTATTGCTTCGATTCGTACGTGGCAAAGAATCAAATTTGCAGACAAAAGATTCCAAGAGTTACAACACGCAATTTTTGATCTATAAGCCAAAAGCGCCTTAAAGAAAAGAACTCACCGAGGCTCCAACGAATGCAAGTTTATCCACAAGTGACGGCTCAATGGCGAGATGGAAAAACCCTGTTGATGAATCGCCTCCATTTTCGATCGTTAGAGAAGTGCTGATTTTAGTGA